TTAGACAATTTTGGTGCGATATTTGTATGAAATCATATTTATTGGTTATAAATTGTCATTTATAAAAGTGCGAGTAGCCCCTAGAATTATATAGATCTTCATGACAGATAATGTTTATCGTGTATACTTTGAAAAAGTGATATGTTGCACCGCCCTGCTTGGCGCCAAATTTAATGGGGCACGTCTTTCCCTCGACTCCACAATCTTTTAAATCTTCGACACTGTTGATTTTTGATGTTTTGTTTTCAACCACCAGAAACATCGCCAAATTAGCGGTATATGAACTCACCATGATGAGTGTAAAAAACCACCAGAATGACGACGCAAGCCGTATGGAAGCAGCCCTAAAAACAAAATCTCATTACACTTTCACATCGATTTGGTATACATTTGGTTAGTATGTGTAAACTTGTTGCTATACTTTGGTTCAATTTCCGATCCTTGCTGAAGTAAAGCGCCGATAGCAAACCACGCTGAATTATTGAGGGTAAATTGATTTTCCAAATACGTCGGCTCTTCAATACATGGGTATCGATTTTCCCATTGTGACGGCGATATACGACCTAAGCAGAAGAAGCACAATGAAACGATTATGTACGAAGCACCCAGTAAAGCCCAAACGCTATTTGAAAACGGTGACATAAATGAAAACGTTTTCGGGTCCTCTTTGGCTGGCTTTCGGTATAAAAGTGCAATGCCTGAATATATTTGTGGAGAAAGAAAGCGAAAAAATTGAATGAAACGTGAAATTAAAATCTTCAGAACTTCTATGCTCCAGAATATTTCCTACCTAAATTCATGAATGAAGGCGTGAAATCTAATGCGGTGATACGTTCCGAGTTGATGGTCAAATCAGTAATGGCCAAATCTGCACTCTAAAATAGAAGAAATAATTGTTGATTAGTTCAATGCATGGATGACTCATCATGCTAAAAAATAAACTGATATTCAAACGTCAGGATAACAAACCCCATTTTGAACTTTTCCGATCATTCCTCTGCATTTCGAAATAGAACAAAAAGCATTTAGAAATGTGAAATCGATTTTTGCCACATTCAATTCAAACTTACGTCCATGAGTTTGTAGCATTATCATAACTACCGTAGTCAGAAGTCCATGGTACGAAATTGTAGTGAAATCCATACAGTCGTGCGAGTTCATCGATAAGATCGATTCCAAACCCTTCGAAACGTTCATTCCCCGACAGACCCGTCGCAGTATCTTTTAGCATAATGTACGGTGGACTCTAAATTAAAGCAAATAAAATCAAGTGCAAATCGGCATTTATTAAGTCCCATTTGAATGTTTCCATCATTGTCGAATCAAAGCAATTACCTCCGAAACGATTACATTAAATGTCATCTCATTGATTGGGACATTTTCATCGGAATCGGGCGTTTTAGTCTCTGGAGGCAAGAAGGTCAAACGTTCACTGCTACTTGGTTTGAATGAACCAATTTTAACCGGACCGTTTATGCCCAAGGACATCAAATCAATTTCAACATTGCTGCGAATGCCCTTTGTATCAAACTCAATTAGTCTAGTTAGTCCCGAATAATTACTCTGTAACAAAGTAAATTTGATTGTAAGCTTGATGTTTTCGTTGAAAAGAAGACAAATAAATGAAAACAAACAGTTTTCATGAAGTTAGTGATAGTGTATCCCTTGCTCCACGTTGACTGTGCATCAAAGCAATCGATTCCTTGGTCATATCTCACTTCCAAATGTTTTAAACCAAGTTGTTTTAAGGCTTGTGCTAAGATCATAATGCCGTCATAAATGAGTGCAGTACTTGTTTGCACGATAACTGGTTGTAGCTCTAAAAAAAATGTTATGCTTTAATTGAACGCAGCTGCAGTTGGAAGATGAGCCAATTTATACCTTCAATTTCTTCGGGTGTACAAATGCGAAAGTTTTCACATTTTTGTTTCTCTATATCCAGCATATTGTTGATGTTTTTGAATTCGTCAATTGGATACTCGGTATCAATTATGCGAAACAGTGTGATGTTTGCTTGTGTGTATTGAAAACGTTCCAAGTCAATGGTTTGTGCATCTAAATTGCTGATGATAAAACTGCGATCCGGAGTAAATAGGCCAACTTGCAATGCCTATGAAAATGATAAACAATTTTGATTATTCCTAGAAATAATTGTCATTTGAATGATTAATTGAAAAAGAAGAATTTGACGTTACCTGCTCCAAAATTTCAGATAAATGTTCAATTGAACTTTCAATCAATATATTTGTACTTCGATCACCCATATCTTTGAGCTTTTGTAAAGTGGGTCTGAAATTAGTACCAACTTCGACCGGTTGAACGATTACATTACCTATAGTTGCACAATTAATAGAATATTATTGTTAATATGTTAATGTTAATAACGATATTAATATGGTTAAATTATTAACACGAGATTTTAATAATTTAACCATATTAATATTATATTATTAACATATCGATTTTGTGCAACTATAACATTACCAGTTTTTCTACTTCGATCGTCCAAAAGCCGTGCGATTCGCTTAACATAGGATGGAGCCTCGTAAATTATTGTAAAATCTTGCCAATTATACTTGTCAACCACATCAATCAAGAGTTGTGCCAGTGTATCTTGGCTTGGATATAGGTTGACTGTTGATGTTTTTACCTCAATATCCATGAATGTGTCAATGAATGGAATTTCCTTGGCATCACAAATGCTCGCAACGTGTGACGATGCTGACGGTGATTGTGGCCCAATGATTGCATGATTTTTACTCTAAACATAGAAAATATAACACTCTCAATTTGAAATCATTTGATTAAAAAAAATGTGATTTAATTCACATCGAGCAATCGACAAACGCTTTCAGCTGCACCAAACTCATTTCCATAGTCAATCATCTCCGTGGCATAACCAAGTTCAATATCGCTTCCATTCAGTATATTCTTATTCGCTTTTTCAACTGCATAATCCAGTATGGCTGAGTTTATTTTCCTGTTTTTGTCGAATGTAGCACCTAAAGAGTTGTGTTTTGTTGCCAAACAAACAGAATTTCCCATTAGTGTTTTATTTTAAACCGACTGATCGGCGAAAATGTAACGACACAGATGTCGTCGGCACACATGCGCCACATCGAGAAAATTGCGTGTATTCGTTTCGCAAGTAGGCTCCCCGGTGAAAAGTGAGTCACGGGAAAACAAATTACTATAACGACCAGCAAAAATTGTGCAAACAAGTAAACACTTGTTCCGTTCGTATAAGTGATTCAAATTGTCAAGAGAGTGAGACAGAGGAAAACGAGAGGAAAATAAGATGAAACAAAACCACACAAAAACACATTCCTCGAAAAAGAATAGCACTAAAAATAAAACACCGCTTCCATAGGGAATACGGTGTGCTTAATGCGAGTGTAAATATTTGTTGTTCGTAATATGGACGGTTTTCAAGCGCACATTGATTTTATTTCGACGTTGAAATTATGATTTTTAAATATGAAGAACGAAGATTCTTCTTATTATCATATCAATCGGATACAAGAACTTTATATTTTTTTTTCTTCAAAAAATAATATTTACATAGTTCACATATTACCGATGGTAGAAATACTAACCTATGTAAAACACACCACCCGAACAAAACTCAATCGAGAATACCAATATCAACACAATAAAATAGCATTTGGAATTCATTTTAATTCACATATTTTTCTTCACCGATTCAAACGATTTTTTTCTGAATTGCTCAACACAATAACGCAGCTATTGATAGCGATCTATTTACGAAAATGCATTTTTTGCACAAAAATGTTATGGACGAACTAGGCAAAACCTCTTTCCGTGTCAAACTCAAGGCATCAACTGAATTCCAATGAAAAGACAATCGTTTGTGTTTGCGCCGAAGGAGAGAACTCACCGCGTTTCTATATAAAAACGTTACAGTGAGAGAGAATGGAAAATATATACAATCGTCGCTTCGTAGCAGCTGTTTGACTGTGATCGTTGAGATCTCAGTTTGGTTTATTTTAAAGTTCGAAAAATGTCGAGTGGTTCGTTGGCGTTTGAATTTTGTCATCATTCCAATTTTCCATTGGTTTTGAAAAGTCCAAGTCCAATCGACACACCGCCAAGAAGTAGTTAAATTAGTCTCTGACTTATTCTATTAATATTTGCCAATGTGAACGGTTACAACTTTATGGCATTATAAAGAAACACTGAAAACATTTTCAACATACTTAAACAAATGAGAGAAGACAAATAGTCATAAGAAAAACAAGAGTTTGATTTATTTTTTTTTGTACAACACAATATTTTTTTCTCTCGATATTTCACTGTGTTCTAGCGGAAGTTGATTGATTGGCATTATTCGGTAGTGAATGTAACTTCCAAGATCGCACTGGTTTCGGTCTGTTAGGATGGACCAGTGATTTTAACAAGAATCTCATTTCTATTTTCATTTCCTCTCTGAACGATACCTGTGGTGTAAATAATCCATTGTATTCATTGGTTTTTACAGCATTGTTTTAATCATGCATTACATTGGCTTCCCTAGCTCTGTTTCGAATCACACGAACAGTGTCAGCGATACCGTACAAAAGGGCAAATATACTTCCATAAGTTAATACAAGGAAAACACCTTCCAAATGATCCAAATTCAGACTCTCGGCTTCTGTTGACCCTTGCTTCTGAAATTATAATGAATTTTATCAATTTTTTTATTCGATTTCTCATTATTTGTTGTCTCGAAGGACGAAACTATATTTCCATCAATTTTTTTTCACACAATAAAACGTCACTGTCGATTCGTTTCTTTTCAAACCCACCTGGCAAGCTCCACCACCACGCTTGGCTTTCCACCATTTCACTGCAATGAAATTAATTAATTATTAATTAGTCTAATTTCAGTAGCTTCCATCTCCATCTTGTCTAACTTCTAACTGTAACTAATGGATTCTTTTTGAAAGTAAAACCGTTGTCAAATGTATTGGACAAATATCAACTGAAGAAAATCTTACTGGACAAAGATAAACTGAACTTTGAATTTAAATAGGAATACGGAAGCTTCAATATCACAGCTCTACTCTAGCTTCTATTAAGTTTAAACAATCTAGTTCTCTTGAAATTAGTTTTTACATAGGATTTTCACGGAGATACAAACAATTCAAATTGATTTACGCATGAATATTGACTAAACTTAACTAGTTTCCATTACAAACAAATAATAGATCAAAAAATCACCGTGCAATCTTTCCATCACTCCTCTTTCTTGTAGCTTCAGAATTCCTTCACTCAGTAAATTATAGTATTTATAATCTAAAAATTCAAGATTTAAAAAAATGAATTCTAAACAATGCGTATGATTTGACTAGCAATACTTTTACGCATGCCAATCGCATAATTGCGATCATCAATCAAATCTCCGACCATTGTAACATTGCAAATTCGTTCAGTGTAGTAAAGCAAAGATGTTGACTCCATCAAATAGGCGTAGTTTTCATTTTGTACTCGACGCAATCCATCATCATTCTCGTCTACCAACAATTCCGGATGAGTAGACATTACTTTATACTATTCATATAAATATGGAAACTTTAGTAAGAATTTTTGATCATTTAATCCAATGAATAGAGTATGACTGTACCATGTTCACGAATGTTGGATACTTTGAGTCCTGTTTAAATGGCAATATTCAAAGTGTAAGTGTGCTTGTAAAATTTTGTGTAACCAAAAAATACGTATTAAAGTCCGAAAAACTCTTATTCCATGTTCTTACTTCGAAAAATTTCAGTGTGCTTCCACCTTTTTTAGCTCCGAATTTTGCCTTACATGCCGGTTGATGTGGTAAACCACATTCTTTGAAATCTTCAACGCTTTCAATGACTTTCACTCGATTCTCGGCAACTAAGAATGCAGCCAGGTTAGCCGTATAGGAAGAGATGATAATCAACGTGAAAAACCACCAAACGGCTGAAACCAATCGCACTGACACAGCTCTGCAAATTACAAATTTTGATGAAGGACAAAACACGTTTAAACAATATTATTTGGTTGACAATTTTTCTTCAACGAAAAGAATAAAAACAAAAGGCTATTTCTCACTTGACTTCAATTTCCGAACCCTGTTGTAATAAGGCCCCTGCTGTAAACCATAATGAATTTTGAAAGCTAAACTGATTCTCCAAAACTGCTGGCTCTTCAACACAAGGGTATGGGTTCTCCCACTGGGATGGTGAAATTCTTCCCAAACAATAGAAGCATATCGACACAAAAAAGTAAAGTAGCGCCAGCAAAATCCAAACCTCATTCCCGAAAGGAGCCATAAATGAGAAAGTCGACGGAGCTGCTTTCCTCGGTATCTGATACAAAATAGCAATACCTAAAATCAAACCACACGCCGATTAACCGTATTGATTTATGACTTGATGTGAAATAAAATGTACCTAAGTTCATGATAGACGGAGTAAAATCGATTGCTTTGATCCTCTCCGATGTAACGGTCAAATCGGTGATTGCGATATCAGCAACCTGTAGCCAGTAATCATTATTATTTGTACTTGGTTTATGTAGAAAAAAGTATTACAAAACCAAATATTTGACTCGGCTAAAATTAGCTTCACACACTTACACCTGACATAACTTTGCCGATCATTCCACTCCATTTATTTGACGCTTCATCTTTACAAACGCCGTAGTTTCCATCCTCTTCAACAATGAATGTGTAACTAAATTCTAAGAGTAATGACAATTCAAATATTAAGTCGACTGCAAAGCCTTCGAATCGATCATTTCCGGTCAATAGATTTGCTTCCTCTTTCAGCATTGTGTACGGTTTTGCCTACGATTACAAAACAATCAAATCTGTCTATTCATTTCATTCACTAAACGGTATTTTACCAAAGCAGTGATAATCGTTAGCGATTTATTTCTCAATGTGTTGTCATCGATTGGCATTCTGGATGGTGTAGTTGATTGACGATTTATCTTTAATCGAGCAGCCGGATTTTCGATGCCATACATCCAAGTACCGATCTTGTCCAGTCCAATTTCGCTTATTTCTAAAACATCCACAGTAATATTTGAACGCACACCGGCATTATCAAACTCAATTTTACCCGTTATTCCATCGTATTTTACCTGGAAATTGAAAGTGACACTTTATATTTGATTCAAACGGAAATTTTTATCAAACATATCATCATATCCGGGATATGAATTTGAAATCGATTTACATTTTTCATATAATTCAAGATTGTGTAGCCTTTGTTCCAAGCGGAGCTGGACTCATCACACTGCACAGACAGTGTGGTAACTTGATCGCTTCCTAATTGTTGAATTGCAGTGGCAAATGTCATCACTGAATCATAAATAAGAGCAGCTCGTAGGCTCACCACATCTAAAATAAGAAATTCAATAAAATCCTTCTGAAATTCGCTCCATTAAATTCGCTTTACCGCTGAATTTTTCCGGATATGTAGGAAACTTTTTCTCCGGATTAGACTGGCACTTATCGGCACTGTTATCAGCATTTAGTTTGCTGTCCGGATCAACATTGAATAAATCGTTAAAATTCTCCACTTCATCGCCTTTTGAAAGTTGAAAAATCGAATGGCTCGTGTCCAACAGACGAAAAGTGGTAATATTTGCGCCACTGTACTGGTACGGCTTTAAGTTGATTGAATGTGTATCTAAATTTGTTATAATCCATCGGTAGTTTTTTGTCATTAAACCAACTTGCATTGCCTGTCGCAGAATTATTGGCAACGATTCAAAGGAACATTCCAGGATTAGGTTCGAATCATCGGAATCACGGACATCTTGTAATGTTGGCCGAAATTCGTTATTGGTGGTGTAGTCCAAATTACGAATATTTATTCGATTTTTCAGTTGTTTATTAATTTCCAGCATTTTCGCCACTCGTCCCAGCCACAATGGCGATTCATATAAAATCGTAATGCTATTCCATCCAGAGGCGTTCACATGATCCAGTACCAATTGCATCAAACTGTCGAAATTGGGATACATATTGAGAACGGCTCTTTTGGATGCAGCATCCTCATCCATATACGTGTTTATGTACGGTATTTCTTTTGAATCACAAATATTCATAGAATGAAATGCTGAAGACACCGACTGTGGACCGAATATAACACCAACTCCAAGCTATACTATCCAAAGCAACAACCATTTCAATTAATTTACATGATAGAAAAATCGCGAGAATCTACGGATATAATTACTTCAAGTAAATTGCAAACACGTTTCGAAACCGCATACTCGCGTCCATATGCAATTGTTTCAATTTCGACGTCAAGTTTCATGCCACTGTATTGGAGAATTTTCTCATTTGCTTCATCGACGGCATACTGAAGCATTTTAATGCCCTCATTGTAGAACGTATTGTTCTCGAACACCGCTCCTATTTGAACAACAGCAAAGAAAAAAAAAGACACTAAACTATTTTAAATACACCCACACACAAACACATTTTGACTAGATCTCGGAATACACAACAAAATCAGTGATTTTCTGATTAATATAATATGAATTTATAATACTAAGGTGTAATAAAAGTTTTACCGATCGCAATGTGATTCAACTGACAATTCGATAGGAATATTTTTATAAAATTAATGAACAACACAAAAATCCAATAGCTAAACTTCATTTTTCATTGGGAAATCACATTTAAATAAATGAAACACATCGAAAACCTCGTATTCGAATATTTACGAGTGAAAAAAAAATCTTCTCGTAAAACAAATGCGATATTATCATAGCGATGCTGAACGCAAACTGATCGCGTGCGGAAACTGAAATGAAAAACTCCGTGTCGTTCAACAAATCGGCATACACTTGGCTGAACACAACACTATATTCGAAATGTATTTTTATAAACTTACGACAAAACACCAGACACACTCGATCTCCATACTCATTGATCTATTTTTTTTTTCGTTTACCGCGAGGTTCTTCGGAAATTGTTCCGAGATCATCATGCGTGTCAAAAAGCAAAAACGACGATATTTTTAATTCATGAATTACATCAAACAGCTGGTATTTGTTTATTTTATATTGAGAGTTAAATACAGAGTGACTTATTTACTAAAATTTACAACGTGTTTCAAAATAAGGAAGATTATCACAGGGCGACTTATTAAAAATACCCTCTTTCGCTATTGTTAAATTATTACATGGACCGAACTTAAATTAGTAGAATAGTTTTTGTACTTTGAATATTTTCCTGTGAACCATGTCCAGATTGGAGCCGTATGCAAAATCGATGTGGTTGTAGCCAGGAAATTTGCTGATTGCGACCGGATAACGGCCCATGGCATTTGCCAGTATTGGAACATTCTGTGAAAATTATTGGCGATTAATTTGTGAGATTCGACTTCAATCATAAATTCACTTACATCGGATGGTGTCAACCAATCATTGGTACCATGCATGATATGAATATTCGCACGAACTTTTGACAAATCGTATTCTGGTGGCTCAGGAGTTCCATAAATTTGCATATTCTTCTCGATGCCGTGATGATAACGTTGGAATCTCTCTAATTACAGAACAGACACATTTTATTGTCGGACAATTTTGAGATTGTATTGAAGATTGATCTCATTTCAACGCTATTGTGTGGTGAAGACTTACGTGCCGCCGCAATTTGTGCATAATGAATAAATTGCTTATAACTTGCACCGCCTGGAATATGATTGAGTATAGTTGCTAGAAGCTCATCAAAATACAAATTTGAAGGACCAAATAGGATATATACGAAACTTCTGCACACATCTCTGCCCGTCGGTCGCATGCAGAACTGACTGACTGCTGTGATTATATCCATGGTTGCACCCGAATGTGACAGCACTTCATATATCCCATTGTTACGGAACCATGCCTATGAAAGAGATGAACAATTGAAGGTAATCAACAAGATGAGAAGAATAAAAACAAATTGCAAAATAATGTTAAATTCTATGTAAGAATTTTCAACGAATAAAAAACTGAGCGAAAATTATTCATGTTTTGCATTTTCCAAACATACCGCAACTGCATGTACACCATCCATCGATCTTGGAACCATCGGATGATTGTGCTTTAAAATAACCGGAGGTGTCATTAGATGTGCTGAAAATACGAATTATTGGATAAGCAATTGAAGAACTGAAGTACAAATTGGATTAAAATCCGACTATTACCGATGGTAATTTTATCGTTGTATTCTGGCAGTTCTGACAGCGTAACGTAGAAAGCGGTAACACCCTGGGAATGCCCAATATACCTTTTGAATATATTTAATGAATCAGGTATCTAAATATAGTGCAGTAAATTTGAAAACTAGCCAACAAACATTGTTGTATTGCTTCTAATCGACAAGAAATATGCAAAACATCAACTCACGTGAGTTTGGTTTGATTGGTGTGGTCCAAAACGTAATCAATTGCTGCTGGTATATCGTACACGCCGATTTCATGCCAGCTAAAGTCCCAAAATTTCGGATCTTTCGGATCCATTCTAATATGACGCCTCGAGTATGTTGTGCCGCGCGCACACAATAGCCAACTAGAGAAACAAAAACTTTGGTGTAAATTCATTTTTCATGAACATTAACATTTGATTTACCCACACATCATAACCTGCATCTGACATCTTATACGCGGCCGACGTGTGTCGACCGAACGTGAGGAAAGCTGGGCAGCTCGAGGTCATCCCTGAAAGTTTCGTTAGAAGGTAATTAAGAGCATTTTTCGATAAAATGTCAATTGCAGCCAATAAATATTGATCAATAGCTATCACTACATCTCTCATTTTGAGTTTTCTCATGTTATTTTTTTTCCTCATGTCATTTCTTGTTCGTAAGATACATATATCCCATTAGAAAGCAGAAATTCTTTGAATTTTTTAGAAAGTCTTTTTTTTTCATTTCTGCTTTTCTTCTTTCTTTGGTTGTTACGCAAGAAAAATGGTCCAAAAACCTTAAGCCGAATAAACTTAAAATTTGATTTTTTGTTTTCTTGAATAATTCATTGAGCGTATCGTACCATGCATAAATAGTACCACTTTGCGGTTATATTTGGACGCGCTCATGTTTGGAATCCGGTACACAGTTAGAATATAGCCATCTTTTGTAAAAAGTGTATGCTTCTCGGCCGGATAACGTTCAGCTTGAATCATATTCATCTGAAAAATATTCAAGTGCACATAAGTTTAAGTTCACAATTCTGAAGTTCACATTTACATGCACTGCTCCCACAGACACACACGCACACCGAACAGAACTGAATGCACAACACTCAATAGAACGGAACATTGGATGCACAAATATTCTATAGAAGAAAATGGTTTATATACTCACGACCGAGTCCGAGTGACAGAGCGGTATGGCAAAGAATACAAGCATCAAACACAGTTTCAGCCACATGATTTATATCACACGTCTGCTGAACAATTTTCTCTTTATGTATGAAATTTGAATTGAAGAATTTAACGTTGCATCGAACTGTACACACTTCCTTCTCTGCACATCGAATTCAAATGCAATGAAACGGGCACAGATCAAACAGTTTTATACAGTTCAGCGTCACACTAAATGGTATAAACAAAAATAAAAATGTGATACCGATTCTGAGTGTTTGAAAACAATTCCATTAAACTATTTTTATTTTATTATAAATACCGATTTCGATGCGTATTTTTAGATCACACAGTCCAAAAAAAGTCTACGTGCAACCAAAATATTATCCAACAGAAATCAATTAAGCGCACTACTACTATATTAGGCTGCCGAAATTGATATAAACAAACCAACAACGAGATGGACTAACGGACAAACAATTCAACTTTATCAACCAGTCGAAATGCGCCCAGATTTCCAAATAGTTCTGTTGTGTTGTTTGAAAAAATAAGACCGTCGTTTGTAAACGGTTCGGTTCGGTTCGACCGCATTGCAAGACGGCTATTTGTAGAAAAACGAAACCTTGTACTTGCCACCTAATATATTATAATGTTATTCATAAACTAAATGTCACTATCATTGAGAGAAAGAGTGAGAGAGTGAGAGAGAGAGACAGAGCGAGACTCTGACTGGCACACTCTCAGTCTCTTTGTACTTCCATCGTGCATGGCCCGTGGAAAAATATAGCCACACAAATTTTTACCGAAAAAATCTGTCTGAAACCGGCTAAACGAAAAACTGGTTTCAGTTACATCTATAGTCTGTACGGTGTACAGACACAATTGCATGTTTACATTATTATCGTTCAAATTTTTTATTATTCCATGGCATTAGCCACAAACAAAATTCGCATGTATCGTGTCGTCGTATTAATGATTTTTCGCTTCTTCACAATCATAGTGATTAGTTCAAAAAAGTTCTTTTCGGATGTTTCTCGTATCTTTCTGAATCATTTTTCATTGTGCGTAAAAAAAACATCTTGTCGTACGGTGTACTTCCTGCACAAACATTGTACATGGCGTGCATGGTATTTGTGTGACTTTGCAAAAAAAAACAAATCAACACAATAGTTTCGGCGAGAGAAAAAGAAAAAAAAAGAAAGAAAAAAAGACGAAAAAATCACATTTCATTTCGGTAATGATTAGAATGTGACGAATACACTGAACCGAATCATGAACAGTAAACAAGAAATTTTTTGTTTCTTCTTTTGCGCAAAAAGATTCCCGCGAAAGAGTTCAGAAGTTCAACTGTCCAATGATTTTGGTGTTTTCATTGTTGCTGTGCCAAGAGCAATGTTCGTGGTTTTTTTTCGGTGTTGTTCTGTTGATGATGTTTCACTTATTTTGCCAATTTAATTCTTGATGACGTATTTTTTGCGTGCGAATCATTCGGCTCATGAACATGAAGACGTTCGTCATAAATCAATCACGAAAAAATAAACGGTTCTTATTATAGCAAGATGAATATAAAAATATCTCGCCGAAATTAGTGCTATCGTTCCGAAAAACTTGTTTTGTACGAATTTAACCTCACGTAGACACCACTTAGAACTTCTTTTTGACAACCAATCGGGCTAATAAACTATTTTACCGGCTTAATATGAACAAACAACGAGCTGCAAAGTAAACGAACTTCTTTAATCTATTATACATACATTTGTTAGACAAAGAATTTGTTAATTTCTCTTTTCATTCATTTGAGTAATCACAATTTCTTTGGTGATTCTTTCGGAAACAAATGATAGCGCACAATTATTAATAATTATGTATGTCAATTATCACATTGGCTAGTAACATAAAGTGCCATTTGGTTTTCGTAATAATTCCAGTTTATTTCTACAGTTTTTATTAACTAAACGCGTATTCGCGATCTATAAACGATCGATAAATTTTGAACTAATTTGATAAAAAAAAATTCAATATAAATCACTCACATCTAACTTACCTGATCGAGCACTATTCACTATCAATCCGAATACGTTCACGGCTTACGGAAATGTGTGTTCGATTGTTGCCGTCAAAATGACTACTTTGGCGCGTATCGTGATGGAATTTTGCGTATTTTCCCTCAGAAAAATGAATAATATTCTATTCGATTGCATCTAAACATTTTGATACGGAATAATATCACGAAATATTTAGCATATTGTATCTTTAAATATCGAAAATTAGCACTGCGATTGAAACGCTTATTCTCAATTTGCATAACAATAAGTTGCATGTTTGCTCCAGACATTTTAATAAAAAAGCAAACATATCATTATTAGTCATCGTATCGAACGGTTGAATGTCATTCAATCTTTTGACAGCATCGTGTATTTTTTCCATTTCAACAATTGATCAACTTACACTTGCTGCTGAACATTCAAAAAGCATTCTTCGTAATATGAAATTATCAAAATGAAATCGAAATTGGAGATTATTGTTAAAACGAATGCCTTGATTAATCTCGATTCAATGCAATTTAACCCATCATTTGTTCACAAAATTTGGATCAATTCAAATAGTAAATCAATAAATTATTTAATTAACCTTGAGGCCAAATCGGCTTATCCAATGAATACAATAATTAATAATTTTATAATCATCGAATTCGAGTGTACATTCTGAATAGATTGAAGCTTCATGTATTGAAAATCATATTTCTTAAGAAAAATGGATCTATTCACGCGAATGTAGCCTTTGATGAATGGTGTAATCATAGTTCAAAGTTCTGCTTCAATTAATTTTTTTTGTTCTATTTCGACCATCGAAAAACTTGAAAAATCTTGTATTCTATTCAGGGTTAAAGAAGGCATGATTTGTTCACTTTCGTAACAAGAATCTATTACGCTGCATGATAAGCCACAATTTTTTGTCGCAATAATTGGGTATCCATTTTCTTGGCAACATCCCAGAAAAAAAAGCCATTAATCCGACCATTTTCAAAACCAGTAAAAAAAATCTATGGCCATTTCTTCATCATGCATTCAACTGAAAAACGTGACAAGCATGATCAATAACAAAGTTCGCAATAAAAAAAATAGTTGTGCTTTTCTTAATACATGAGATTGCGTGATTATGTTGCATTTTCTAATTAAAGTAAGAATCTTCGTTTCATCGTGCATAGAAGAATTTTTTCGGGTTTCTTTTCTCCTATTTTTTTTCTTTCCCTTTTTTTGCAATATCACACATTCTAAACTATATTTCCAAGTAAAAGAAAAAAAAACGCACAGTATCAAATTTCGAATCGTATGCATGAGTCGTAGGTCTAGACAATGTTCAGTCGTTGATGTTGATGACCCCGACGAAGAACTTGAATGTGTTCCATTTTGAATGAGTATCATTTTTGCCAACAATGCTCTGCGTTGTTCGACACATTTGGTAAACTGAGCTTACTAAGCTCACATGAACGTTGAACATGTTCTGAAGAACAGAAATACTCGTTTGGGCATATTATTTTCTTTTATTTCAATTAAAATTGATTTTTAGAGGATTATCGTGTTTAATATTTTATTTAAATGGCCATTGTTTGAAGTTAGGTGGAATTCTTCATATATTCATTTCACCATCTTTTATCGACCGGG